CATCTGATCCAATGGTGGACAAATCCAATTCCTGGCTAGCTTTTATAGTGAAATCCTGAGAATCAGTCAAGGAACATGTTTCTTGAGGGTGTGAGTCATACGACTTGGACTCAGTGAGAGAGCCCACATCTTTGTGGGAAAGATTATCTAGGAGATTCCCTTGAAGACAAGAGGCAATAGATACTATAATTTTTGGTTCAGATGTAGCAGTAGTACATCCTCCTTCTTCTATTTTGTAATCTGGGTTATTTTCTTGTTTAGAAGATACAGGAACAGATTGAGGTGCATGTGATTTAGACTCCATAGAAGCTCCATTTTTGGTACTGTCCTCTGCATGATTTTGGGAACTGGAATCATCTGAATAGAGCAGAGCAGCTTTTGATGGAGACTTTGGGGAGGAACACACATCATCAAGAGCTGAATCATCTGGATGGTTTTCCTCCTGAGCTGCATCACAGGATGCAGTTGTTTGGGATGGAGGTAAGGACACTGGTGTATCTTTCCAAGGAGAAGTTAGTGCTTTCAGAAGAAAGTCAGTGTCAGGCTGATTGCCACATGATGAATCATCAGTTGCAGTGTGTGAATTAGTTTCTCCTTGATAATAAATGAAATTCAGTTCTTCAAATATTGAAGTTCCAGCATCATCAACTTCTTCTGGATTATTTCTGGCTTCAGGACTATAGACATCTGATGTGTTAGTGGTTCCTTCATTCGGATCTGTATCTTTGCTATCAAAACGCAATTCTTCTTGTTTTTCAGTTTGTTGAATGTCTTCCACTTCTGGTTGCTTTACAATTTCTTTGACTGTTGATTCAACACCAGGATCTGACTGAGAATAAGAAATTGAATGATCCTGAGATATGTTTCCTGCTGGAGTAGCTTCTACACCGATCTCATCTGCTTTAGCAGTGACAACTTCTGTCATAATCTCCTCATTGGTATTTGGAGGTATTTGACATGGGATCTCTGGTTCTATTTCCATTTTTTGGTCATTTCCAATATCTGTCTCCATTTTGTTATTGGTATCTGTAAGCACCTTGTGATGATATTGGAGCTCTGGTTCTCTCCCCTGTTCTTCATCATCATCAAAATCTATTACAACCATGTCATCAATGATTTTAAAAGCTCTTTTGTTACAACAAGGCTCTGTTTTTTTGTGAGTTTTGGGTTCAGCATTGATATGATCAGGAGTCACCTCTAGACTTTCAATAGTATCAAAATGGTCCATATCAATTCCAGATGTAGTTGAGGACAGAGATGGCATGACATCCAAAGTGCTGATCCATTGAGCTACTTTATCCAAACATCTTAGTTGATGATCATGTACTCTATTTCCTGTACAATGTTTCTGATTTAATTCTGTCAGCTTCTGATGTGTTTTTAACATTTTCTTATCCAGAGGATGAGAGTTTTCCATACTTTTACTGGTAATTGAGTGTGGGACAGTTCCTTTGTGTGGGCCTTCAGTAGGATACTGGAAATTTGTCAAACAAGGATTTCTGGATTTTGGTATTTCTGGTATATCAAGTTCTCTGTCACATCTAAGGTGGCAGCCATACATGTCAGGATCATATCCTGATACAGGTTCCATCATAGTCATGGGAGAATCCCAAAACTGTTCATGTCCAGCATCAAGTCTGGGTATATTATTTGGATGTTGAAATGGCTGGATCTTGATATCTCCTAAATCATCTCCTCTCAACCTCTCCAATAATGTGAAGTTATCTTCAGTAAAACAAGACATACCATCATCTACATTCATATCATCCAATGTAGAAGTAAATGGCTGTGATCTTTGGACTTCAACTGAAGGGTGAAATTTATCATCTGTTATGGTGTGTGTATACTGCTTTCCTGCTTTAGACCTTTGATGGTAAGACCATCCTCTCATACCTCTTGTATAATATGGCTGACTCCTCTCACAGTAATCATAAATCTGATTTTTTTCCATTTCAGGATATGGACATGGTCTTCTTTGAGAATCAAAATTGGCATTTCCATCTAGATTCTGATATTTGTATGCATGATCATGATTTTTTCTTGGTGGTTCAAACTGAGTGTAATTATAATAGTGTATAGGAGGAGGCTCTGGTAATCCAGGACGTCTGTAAAGGGATTGGTGTTTTACTGCTGAAGTTTGAGGATGCTGAAATGGGTACATTGTTCCTGATCCATAATGGTCTTTTTTCAGCATAGCTAAAAAGTTTCTGGGATATGGTGTGGATGTTATGGGTTGTTCTGGGTAGACTCGTAAGGATGTTTGGTAGTCCTGGGTATAAGAATATGGGTTTGATCTTCCCTGGTGGCCATAGTAATCATCATAGGAATTATCAGGAACAAATTGATCCAGGTCTGGAAGATGTAGTCCTGGTCCTCTGCCAAGAGAAACAGCCAAATCTGATTCATTGTGGATCATTTGGTTTCTGGCCATGCTGTCTTCTGGATGAGCAAGATGAGAATCAGGTAATGGAAGATGGTGGCTATCGCAATAAACTGTCTTCTGCTTTCTTGGTTGTGACTTCTCATTACCTTTTCCTACAACAAAAGTTCTGTATCATTTACAGTATTATTTTTTGTTAATTTATCTGGGATAATAAAGGAAAGCAATACCAAGCAATTCTGAGAAATGAGAAATATGCTTTGTGTCCAGGGTCTTTGAGAAAATATTGAAGAGGGATGCCACTAATCACTGCATACAATGAATGAATAACCACTGATATAATTAATCCTTTCAATGAGTAAGCTACTATTTGCATTATTCTCATTATCCATCTGACAAATATTTTTTTTTGAACACTTTACCAAATTTAAGAGTTAACCTACAAGACTAGTGGCTGCTCTAGCCTACTAGATACATAATCATAAACACTGTGTTTAAGGGGTTCAATTCATCCCATGTAAGTGCAAGAAATCAAGTGACAAAAACAACACCAACTGGGGCATTACAGTCAGTCTGTTTAGGCAAAAAATGTTTGCTAAACACAATTTTTATGATAAAACCAAATGGTCTGCTCTATAACATTAAGGATCATAACAAAATGCAGCAACAAAATTCAAACCATTTTTAGAAAATTTCTGAGGGTTTTCTTTTATCATCCTTTCAAGATTTGTAGAAGATAAATATTGTTCTTCTCCAGTAGTGAGTTTTCTCCTTCTCTTACTTTGCAAATGTGGAAAAAAATGGACATTGTAATTTTCATCATTTGTTGAATCCATTTTATATCAAAGTTTTCCTGAAATAAAGTATGATATTTTACAAACCAATTTATTTATGTTAATTTCATGCAATAAATAAATATACAGGTATACAAAGTAAACATAGAGCCCAATGGATCTCCATTACCTGGTTTTGCTTGCATGTCTTTCCATAAAGCATGCTGCCATTTTTTTTATGGATTAGATTCCAGGGACAAATTTCTAACATGTACCATCATGAATGAATGACAACTGCTAAAAGTTGCTTATCTTGGTGTATATATTCTTATATATTCTTTTAAGTCGATGTGCAATGTTTCATTTCTCTTACCTTGTCCTGGAATTACATTTTCTACGATTTAAAAGACTTCAGATTTCCGAAGTTCAGAAAGTTTTTCAAAGATGACGTCATGTTGTGTTTTTATGGACAACCATTTTCAACAAAAAAATTTAATGGGCAAACTTAACTTGACTGACGTTTGTTGAAAATGAGGAGTAAAAAATATCGAAAGAAATGATTAGGCTAGACAAAAAATTGTTTATTTATCTGTTTCATTATTTAGATCTAGGGCTAGGCCTATTTTTGGTATGACATATTTTTTATTATTTATTTATTTTATGACATTATTCATTATTTTCGAAAGTATGATTTTCTCAGGCCCTAGTCATGCGCATGAATCATGAACGCCTAATATAGAATATTTATTTAATTCGCAAAGTTTCAAAATGGATAAAGATTGTGGTTATAATAAAGGGAGGTAATTTTAAAATAATTGTGGTCTGAACCCATTAGTTACTTCGAGGTAGTTATGCTTCCATTTCAGACGTTTCGGCCAAAGATCAAATTCCATGTGATGTATCGCCGAAAAAAACTATTTCTTCAACTGATTGAATCATATTTATGAACATCAGTTTTAATAAAGGAATCCTTATCACCGTTTCAAAAACATTTCACACAGTTACACAGCTAATATTTTTTTGATTTGTGAATGGGGTCGTATTGTCATTGGCTTCTTGCACTTCAGACTTCATGTTCGAGACAAAAGGATGTGGAGTCAGCAGAAAAATTTTATGGAACACAATGTGGGCCATATTCTTATGTTGTTTTAATGTCTTTTAGCAATAAATCACGCTACGTATCTTATTTTGTCTGTCACTATTTTTTTTTTAAATCACGGTTCTTTGAAGGAATTGTCACTAGTTATAATGAATTGATATTAAGAAAGATAAATACTGTTTTTCTCGACTTATTTATAAATCAAACATTGTACACGAAAATAGGTGACGCATTTTGCCGCCGTTTTGGAGTGGTTATTCATGAAAAATAGGTGGTGGATTCGTAAAGAAAATCGAAACAAACCAATTATAAATATTTTATAGAATATCTGAGGAAACATCTAAGATATAAAAAAAAAAATCCGTTTTTTTAACTTTGACGAAATTCGATGTTGAATCCTTATATCCACGAAAATAGGTTACACCATTGTAATATAAATCCTAATATTCTCGATTAGTGTCACAGTTCAGGATCTCCTGTGGCAGCCAACGGACTACGCCAATTTAACCTGTTGGGCTGTCACTTCTAAGGCATTATTAACATTCTAGTGTATAGCGAGGATATCAATAATAATAGCACACTAGAAAGTGAACATTCATTGTCCTAGTAAGAATTTAAAGGTAAACTGAATATTTAGACGTATTTCTATTTGATCCCTTTAAGATCTCGCTTTGACATCTTAGATTGTCTAAAGTTGTGTTCAGTCTTGATGTACAAATTCAATAGTGTAAGCTTAGCTCACCTGAATGTTTATTTTCAGATACTAAATAGAACCATTTGGAGACCTGCTGTACTTTGGTAGACATAGTGGAATCTGTGGTTGTGAACTTGTAGATACGGTAGATTATGGCAGCAGACAAGTCTCAGCACAAAGCGCCTTATGGCATGGAACCGTATGATCAAGGAGGCATGCAGGATTTGGGAGCTCTTAACCAAGAGCAGCAATCTAAGCTAAATAAGTTAAAAATTCAAACTAGAGTTGAAAATGAGAAATATTTGTAGGGAGCATCCTGAAGTTGAATCACTAACGGGGGGTTTTCTGAGTGATGTTTTGACCAAGACTACAATATTCAAGAATTTGCTGCCAAATATTTTATTCAACCAGACTTAAATAGTGTCGTGGAGAAAAGCTTGGAGGACAGGCAAAATAACATGAAACAGAACAGCCTCTTACAAAAAAATAGTGAAAGTGGCGCATACTCGGAATATGTAGAATCTCTTCTCTTTTTTTTTTGCAAAATTTTTTTTTACTTTCTTCCATGTTATATTTATTGTTGATATGATATGCATAATATTATTATCATAAAATATTATTTTAAGCTCAATTACATTCTTTTGTTTTCTTTACCTCATGATAATATGTGACTGACAAATTTACGACGAAAGCTTGCTCACTTTTTTCACTTGAGACTCCTTAATTACCTCATTTGTCAAGTTTTAAACAGAGAAATAGAAAAAATAAATATGTGACTTTTGCAAAGGAAAAAGGCTGATAAGCTTCTTACAGAGTGGCATCAGGTGTTTCAGAAAGGCTGGATGACCTTATCTTCAGACTTTGACAGATGAATTTCTACCAGTGATGTCTGAGAGCTATTCTTGGAAGACAAGCAAATTCTTCAAGGTGTGGAAAATTTCGTGTCTTTATTTTGGTACCAGAACCCTGATTATTTTCTAGCTTGTAGGAGAAATTGATTGCATACATTCTTTCCAGCAACCTGTCATCAAAATATTCCGTCATAACCTGTGGAAGGATAACTGAAAATAGGTCCGAAACATCAGGCCCTATTCCAGCCTCTAATAGACATTGAAAAGCTATCGTCTGGAGTAGAGTTGGAAAAATTAGGCCCTGTTTTATGGGGATTTTTTAACATACATAATGTATTTTTACGGTTTGGCGGATCCGGTTTAAGGTAAACAAAGCCTAGATTTTCTGTCAATCACAGGCCTCAACAGAGGCGATGTTTAGGTCTAGCTGTAAATGAGCTTTTTTCTACGAATTTAGCAAATTTAGAGAATTGAATACCAGAGTCAGAGTCAAAGAGTTATATAATAAGAACTATTTATAACTTTATGGCCTGATTCAACCATTCTTGGTACATGTCGGTGATTGAAGAACCAATCTATATGTTCAGGATGTAGTAACTGTCGCGTGTACAAAACAAGTAACTCGAGTTATTTCTTGTTAGGAAAGTCCCGGTTATTAATAGACGACAATAATACCTCATCTTTGACTCACTGCAACATATTTCCTTTCATATTTGTCCTAAAGGTCTAGACTTAGATTCTTTTGAAGTGGTTATTTTCGTACAGTCAAATATTCGCACCTTTTTCTGATTTAAAGATTGGTGTCTCAAATTTGCCATTTTTTTGTTGGTAAGTTTATTGGCAATATCTGTTCTCAACAATTTCAGTATTAAAGTTTGTCTATCTCAATGTAAGTGTTTAAAAAATATCCTCAAATAGATGTCATTTTTGTTAGACTAGATTAAGACCTATATTATTGCCTGATAACTTTTGATAGTTTAGCTGGCATTCTTGATTTGATTGGGTATTTGGCATGATGAAGTGAGTTGTTTTTGCCTATTGAGTAGACTCCTTGCCACAAATTTTGACCAGGTTTTAGTATATTTTCAGGATCATCTAGTCAAGAAGTCGTTTAAAAATGTCGCAGTTACCAGATGATTTACCAGATCTTGTAGAGTCCTCTGATGACGAAGGAACATTACATCAAGCTGGTAATGGTAGGTTGAAATTGATTTGGTTGATGCAAGTACTCATAATTATAGTTCATGTGTTCATATTTACAAAACAAAACGGGCAATTTAGTTGATTGGAAATCATGTGACATGATTATTAATTATTTCGATCCCATAAAACGGTACCGGTTCTAGGTTTATCTGCTGAGGGAAAACATAGCAGAGTGATATGCTTCAAGGTCCAATATTTCATTAAGGGTTTTTGATCTTAAAGGGACAGGTGTGCCATCTTAAGGGATTGATTTTAGTCTTGGAATATATGCCAATAGTCTGCAGAAAAACTAGAAATGAACAAAAATCGCATAATTCCTTTAAAAATATCTCAAACTAGGAATTTCTTTTCATATTTCTATACCGTTATAGCATTGTCTCATTAAAAGACGACTAGTCTTTGTAACTTTCAAATGTGGATAATTCTGGACACACATAGATTTGAAGGCTCAAATTTTGATGGGTGAGCTGTGATCACTATTATTGATTGGCTTCGCTAAAAAATGAGCTAAATGGGGCATCTATCCCTTTAATTATGGTTATTTTCTAGGTGATTATGCTATTGAATGGTTAAAGAGAAGTGGTGAAGATCTAGATGAATCAGATAGATTTATTAAATATATGACCTGTGGACCATTATTATTTGGTATTAGTCTTGGTGTAGAGAAGATATGGATTGAGGCTCTTCACTCAGCTAAAATTATTCTAACCAAAAACAGGTATTTTTTCATATATTTTTTTGCAGAAAGAGAGAGCCAAACTCCATTGAATTTTGATTTTTATACTTTAATAATATATACCTTATATATTTATCGCTGACCAATCATAGTTTAGTCTCAAAACGCGAAATTTATTTTGTAAGCTAATCAGTTATAGTGTTCACAGCTCACCATTGTAATTTGAGTCAAGAATTATCTGTGTTTTGAAAGTTTAAATGACGACTAGTCTTTTCTCATAAGAAAAAAAGGGATATAGAAATAGTAAGTGAAAGTTCTAGTTTGAGGTATATTTGAAGGGATTATGCTTTTTTCCTGCAATTCTAGTTCTTCCGAAGGCTATTTACATATATTTAAGACCGAAATCAATCTGTGAAAATGCGACTGTTCCCCTTTGATTTGTATGATGTTATCTTATATTGTGAGTTTCTATTTTGTTTGAATGTTGTTACATTCAATGTAAATCTCATTTTTGTTTCATTTAAATTTTATCTTGCAAGGTTTATTTATGTCTTACTGTGCATGGCAGTCTCCATTTTTTTCCTTACAGAGAAAAGGAGGTGTCAGTATTTAGTGAAGAAGAGGAAGAAATTATAGTTTTGGTTGAAAAATTAGTGAAAAACCTGCAACCTCAGATGGTATGATATTTTTGACCTCCCACCTGTCATGGGTTATTTTGTCTACAAATAGAATGCTTCTCAGAATTGGAATACTTTCAATAGTGTTTTATATTCCTGGATATTCCATGTCCATTTCTATAGCATGTGACTTTTGACTTGCATGAGTGTGTTACATATGATGAAGACAAGAAATGGAGAGTATCCAAATTACTCCTTCGTGGAATAGATAACAGTCAAATTTGCAATTGAATATGAGTTCTATTACAATTTAATAGTTCTGTAGTTACTAGCAAATCAGGACAATCTCACTCTTACAGAAAGCCTCAGTTCACCTCTCAACTGAATTTGTGGGCCCAGTTACTATTTGAAGATTCCACATAGATTTCACAAAATTGCTATATTTTGAAGTTTTAAAACAGAACAGTTGTTACTCAGAGCTTCATGCTGTACGATCTTCAGACAACTTTATATTTCGATTGTAATTTCAGAGACAGAAAAATCACCTGCGTTCTGCTTTGGACATTGTGGACGCAGTAGAGAGAACTACATTGTTACAATCTAAACCTATTAATATAGACAAAGCTGTAGAAGTGGCTTCTAGTTTTACCGTTTTTCTTGACCTTATGTAAGTCAATTTGAATTCTATGTTGTGACATATGGTTCCTCCATTCATACATGTGTAATCTACTGGTGTTGTCAGGGTTCTACCTGTTTCACATGTAGACTTTCTCTTATCAGTATAACTATAAAATTTATGATAGCCACAAAACAAAATCTGGAAGTCTTGAATTTTCCAGAAATCTTATCAAAACTCTGTCTTGCTTTATTGAACGTCTGCTTGATTTCATAAATCATGAATGTGCAGAACTGACCAATCGAGCGACCGCTAGTAAAGGTTGTCAATTATCAGAACTCAATGTTTTAATTATTTCAGAAAAAATATTTCTCACAATGAAAAGATAAACCTAAAAAAAGATGGACAGTTTGCAGTGATATTTATCTTCAAAAATTGTAAGTATTTTCTAACCTTAGACTTGAGACTTGTCAATCACCATGGCAACTTACAGTTTGCACTAAAAATTGCGTTCACTTAAGCAATGATCTACAATAGAATGATATTGATGAAATATTGAGTTTTATTAATGAAATATGGCTTTCATACACAATGCATTACAGGCTATCAAATTCAAATTTGAAGAGGGGCTGTAGCACAGTCAGATAGAGTGTTGGAATCTTTACGTGACATATTTAGCGTTAAGTTGAACAGATGGTGGGTGCCAATCTCTTGATTTGAAAGTTTGGTGACCATGAATAAGTCACCTTTCTTTATTATTCCAATCGAACAAACTGAAAATGGCTACAAGAAACCCAGGAAAGATCAGTGCCAAGAGGTTTGCCTAAGGACCAGCTGAATCCTAAAGTACCTAAGTTGTTTAAATGGTTGTTTGTTTCCTTTTCTTTCAGATCATCGTCATGTGGTAGGGTATTCTAGAGATGCTAAGATGATTGAAGAAGATATGAAAAAAGAGTTGGAAAATAAGGTTCGTCATATTCTTACCTATTGTGTCTGCTATATTTATTATTACTCAAGGATTTAACTTCATATTACATGAGTTATTGTTCTTGTTCTTCCATTCATTCCAAACACAATCCTTCATGAATATTTATACTTTTATCTTGACAATGGCATTCTTTCTTTCAAATATCTTCATAAATTCTGTCTTGGCGCTATTAAAGCTTCTTTGTTTTGTAAATAACTCTGTATATTTACATTTCCTGTTCATTTGTTTTTGACAGAATGATGGAGTTATGTGTGCAGAGGGCTGTAAAGAAAGGGGAAATGAGGCTTTTAAAAGAGAAGATTTGCAAAAAGCCATAAAATATTACAGTTTGGCCATATTCAAAGAGTAAGTTAGGTTTAAGATTTTCAGTGATATTACATGTACCTATACCAGATCAGAAAATTTGTTTGGCTGGTTGGTAGATGACAAGATACTGTACACTTCCGGCTTAAGCTGACATCACAGACTAGGGAATAAGTATAGTCAACGCAGATGTTGGTGCACATAGAATTCATAACAGTAAAAGAAGAGATTTGTGCCATGGTAGAATAAGTAGTTTATGAAACTTTTCATTAGATCTTTGTTATGTTCCAGTACCTTGCAAAATACCGCATAGTGGACTTCTCAAATTAGAAAATTCTATCGATGAACTTATATGATGATAACATATTGATGATT